AGGTGTAGGACAAATGAATAAGGGTCCTTCTGCACATGACAGGTGAGAAAACAATCTCAGGGACTTGGCTATCCTGAGTGTTTATGATACAAATCATAGTGTGGCATCCACAAACATGGCTAAAAATGCCTAGATAATAACAATCCCCAAACCCAATTCCCACTGTCACTAAAGGACTTTTTAAAATTGTGAGATATAACTCATATACCATGAAAATTCACCCATCTAAAATATACAGTGTAGAGTTTTTAATATATTCACAGAGTTGTGCAACCCTTGCCACAATCTAAGTTTAGAACATTTTCATCATCCCCCTAAGAAGCCTTGTACTCACTCACTCCTCATCCCCTGCCCTCCCCTCCCCAGCCCATGGCAATCACTAACCTACTTTCTGTCTCTGTGGATCTGAATGACTTGACACCCTTTGAAGGTCACAGTCTTAGCCAACTAACAATTACTTTTTCTGTTTTATGTGGGAGGAAGATCAGAAGGATGCCTTAGGCTTAAGGCCTATTGGTTAACTAGTAGTTAGCACTTTGGAGTCAGGCTGTCCTAGCTGTCACTCACCAGCTATGTTAGCCTGGGCATGTTGTATGTCTCTGGGCATCCTCATCTCTAAAGTGAGGTAACAGTCATACTTCATAAGGTTGCTGCCAGGACTAAATGACAAAATGGGCAGGACTCTACCTGAGGGCCTAGCATAGTAAGGAACAAACAATACTTGTCATCACAGGTCTTATACTGCAAGGCAGAGGTCCATGGACAATGCTGGGGGTCCTTGAGATCTGGGCAGGCTTCTGGGAGGAGTCAGTTGTGTGTGTATGTATATATGTGTGTGTGTGTGTGGCTGGTCCAGTGCGGGGGATGTATGAAATCTCAGGTAGAGGATGGATTCATAGGAAGAAAGGCTAAAGATAGAAAGCCTGTCGGGAAGCGTCTCCAGCAGTCCAGGGATGTGAAGGGCTGGTGCTAGGGAGGGTAGGCCTCAAGTCAGCTCTCAGACTTTAGTGTCAGAATCACTGGGAGCTTGTCTAAAATGCATACTCCCAGGCCTACCCCAAAGGTTCTGATGCAGCAGGGTGGGAAGGGAGCAGGTGAGCACAGCCAGGGTCTGGTTGGGGCAGGATTGCCTGGACAGGAGATAACTGGGGAAGGCTTCCTGAAGCAGGAGGATTTTGATCAGGAAGGTAGGTGTGGGCCTTCAGGCAGAGAAGACTTAGGATCAGATTCATTTTCTAGGTCAGTCTGGGAGGAGAACAGGAAGGCTGTGATGCCTCCAGGTGACCTTAAAATGCTTTACTAAAGAGCTTAGAGTTTATTTAGGCCAAAGGCAAGAGAGGTCTGGAAGTTTCGGAGTACTTACTGCCCTCACTGTTTGAGACAGTTCTGAATTGAGGTAGGTAAGGTTTAGGGTAGAGTGAAGAGAATGACTGTGGGTCTCATACCTCTATCTCTCTTATTTCTCTCTGAAATGAGGCCCAGAGCCCCCGTTTCATTTTCTTTTTCTTTCTTTCTTTTTTTTTTTTGGAGACAGAGTCTCACTATGTCACCCTTGGTAGAGTGCCATGACATCGCAGCTCACAGCAACCTCAAACTCTTGTACTTAAGTAATTCTCTTGCCTCAGTCTCCCAAGTAGCTAGGATTACAGGTGACTGCCACAACGCCTAGCTATTATTTTTGTTGCAGTCGTTATTGGTGTGATTTGAACCACCAGCCTCAGTGTATGTGGCCAGCACCATACCTACTGAGCTACGGGCACCACCCCCCATTTCATTTTCAATTGAGTCATGTTGGCAAGGAATAGGAGGCTGAGGGAGGGTTGTGGAAGGGACAGGGGAGGGAGGCCCATTCCCATTTCATGATCTCAGTGGAAAAGCCTGCTGTGAGTGGACTGTGCTGCCAGGAGAGCCACAGAGATGGGCCCCATGAGTCACTGCTCAGTCCTGCAAGCTCAGCCTTCAGTGCCTGCTGTGGTCAGCCACCCCAGGCTGGCTCTAGGCCTAGCCCCCCAATATTCCCTGTCAGGCCCCAGTCTGTCCCCATTTTTCTCTGTACCTTTGCCATCCCGCAGCTGTGCATCCTGTTGCTCTCTACTTCTCTGTCTCTATTGAAGGCTGAGCCTCTGAATCTGCCTCCATCTGTGACTCTGGTTTCCATCTGACTCACAGATGGGGAGCCTAAGGAGGGCAAGCGTAGTGTGACTGGTCTCTGGTACCCCTAAGAATTTATTCTATGCCAAACCCTGTGCTGGGTCCTGGAAGTAAAGAAGTAGATGACATACAGTCTCAATTTCTAAGAAGTTTACAACACACGTTCTCTGCGGAGTAGGAGATCAGGGCCTAGCCCTGCTTCTGTCTCAGAGTGGCTGCATTTCCCCCTGAATCTGCCTGCTGTGCCCAGAGGTGCCAGGGTCAGCTGTGGCCTGTGGCTAGAGGCTCTCATCTCTGGCATTCAGAGGGTTATATGTGCCCAACAGCAGGTCCCCCAACCTCTTGGGATTCCTGGGGGCCTGATGGCTGGTGGGGGTGGGCAGCAGAAGGGGAGGGAGGGAGAAGGAGGCAGTGACTCAGTGGGGGTGGCCCTGGGACAGACTGGGGAAGGAGCCAAGGTTGGACATACTCACTGAAGCTAGGAGGATGGTTAGAGAGATCCGGCTGGAATTCAGGGATGGAGCAGGACAACTCCAAGGCTGCTCTCTCAGACCCGCTTGTGGAGAAGGCTCAGTAGCTGACTGGGAGTCTGGACTCTAAATGCTGGGATGGGTAGGAGATTGCTGTTGTTCCCACTGTGCCTGCTCTGATGTCCAAGTTCATGAAGGAAGTTCCTGCCTTAAAGCCAGGGAATCCATTGCCCCATTGCCCCACTGCCTGTTGCCCCCAGAAAGCAAGGGCCGGAGCAGGCTGTGGAGCTCTGTGCTTTCTCCTGGCCACATAGCCAGCTTTCCCACAATCTTCCCACAAATTTAGGGGGTCCATACAAGCCCATATACCCCAAAGGGACCCCAAACCTCAGAGCTTACTCAAGTGGTTTTCATCAGTTCAGAATCCCCCGACTGTGAGGGTGAAATGAGGGGCAGGTCGCCAACACAGCCCAAGTGCTGGCTGTGAGCAGAGGTCTGATGTATGGCGTCTTCCCTAGTCTTCACAGCAATCCTAGGAGAAAGGAATAACTTTCCTTTTTTACAGGTAAGTAAGGTGAGGCTCAAAGAGAAGAGAGTCGTCGGAGCTCCCCCAGCAGGTAAGTGGAGGAGCCAGGCCCGGGCTAGTCTCCGGCTCCAGGACGCCCCCTCCGCACCAGCCTCCTTGGCTGGAGTCTGTGGGGGTGGGGGAGATACAGCAGGGGTTACAAGGGCTGGAGGGTCTGTGAGATTCTGGCAGGGCTGGGTCATCCCCCACCCTCCAGCCCAGACAGCAACTCCGTCCCGTCCCAGGACCCTACGACCCGGCTTTCGGCGGCTGTGCCACGGCAGCGTCCTCCTCCTCCACAGATGGTCTTCCCTCGCGCACCCCGCAGCAGAAACCCCCGCCATCCCTCCGCGGGTACGCGCGCTCACTCACCCTCGCGCACCCACGCAGCTTGCCCCAGGGGCGCCGCTTCCGGCGCCACTCGCCAGGCGCGGAGTGGGCTCTGCGGGACCGCCGGCCGTTGGTCGCGGCCGGGACTCGCGTGTTGAGACGGCGAGGTGAGGCGCGCGGTCAGAGGGGCCCCGCAGTGGGGGCGGGGCAAGCGTCTGGGCCCGTGCGACGGGCGGCGGGCGGGGGCGCTGCGGGGCTGGCGACCTGGCCTCCGCGTCTGCCTAGCAGTCTACCGTCGGGCCCTGAGGACGTGCTGTGGCTGCGTCCTCCGGCCTCCAGGGGGCAGCGTGGCGCCCCTTTCTCGGCGGCCCTGTCTTCCCTCTCCCGCGGCCAGGAGGCGGCGCCCCTGGACGCCAGGCGGCCGCGCAGGCTTTGCCGTCGAGGCCGGGGTCCTGCCGAGGGCTTCTACTGCGAGGCCTCTGGGGCGTCCCCGTTCCCTGCGGTGCTCCCCAGGGGGCGGGAGTCCAGCCAGCGGGCGAGGGAGGGCGCGCGCCACTACCCGCGCCAAGGCCAGGGCTTGGCCAGAACCGGGAGCTTGAGCTCGAGTCAGCACGTGAGGGCCTGTCCGAGGGTGGGGTCCCACCGGGCAAAAGCCCACAGGGGTGCAACTGGGGGCCTGAGCAGGAGGGAGACTCCTGAAGTTCTTTCCTCTCCAGGCCTGAACTGTGGTGGCGGCAGCACTTCCTGTGCCCTGGCACCTCCTATGCCTAGTGCCTTGTGCTTGCATTGTGCACCAAGCCCTGCTCGACCATCTTCCACCCAGTTCCGGGATGAGCTGGGGCCTTTGTTCATACTGAGGCCCAACCCTTCGCCTACTTGCCCTGAGCAGGCCCACCCTTAGGAGGGGGTGATGGAAGGGCCCCTCAAGGATGGAGATGAGTTCCCAGACTCCCGGGGCCATGCCACTGACTGGAGGTTCGCAGTGTGCAGTTTCAGGCATGCCTGGGAGGAGGAGGAACCTACTCCCCAGATGCAGGTCAAGGACCCCAAACCTCTGAGACCACCAGCAGGGGCAGCCCAGGGTGATGGGATACAGAGCAGCTCCTTGTCCAGGGAGCTTCAATTACCCCCAGTACAGATGGCTTCAGATGGGTCCGGGGATGCTCAGAAGATCACATTAGAAGGCTCCTCAGTCCTGTCTGAGGAGTTGGTCCCCACTGGAGTGGAGAGCCTCCTATGTTCCATGTCCTCCCACCTTAGCCTGGCACAGGGTGAAAATGACAACCCAGGGATAGGCTTGGTAGGGGACCCAGATCCAAACAGGGTAATTCCAGCCAGCTTGGGCCATGGGAGGTTGGACAGTGACCCTGTGGACCTTGAAGACACTTTATCAGAGACATCATCAACACTGATGGAGCCAGGTAAAAGAGGCTGGGCTAGGGAAGTCTGGAAAGAAAATGGGGTGCCCTGAGATGGATGTTGAGACCTGGGGGCAGGGAGTTGGGGTAGGTCTCTGACCACATTCAGGCTGAAGCCTGGGTTCAAAGAGGGGTTTCTGGGTAGGTGGCCCACTGCAGACCCAAGCCATTTCCCTTCCCAAGACTCCAGCAGATCCAACCTTCCTAAGCCTGCTGACTGCCTCCTGGCCCAGGACCTCACCTGGGAGCTGCTGGCCAGTGGTATGGCTGCCTTGCCAGGTAGCCAACGAGAGCCTACAGGTGGTGGAGGTGGGGTGGCCCAACTGGACAGGTATTCACTGCCTCCTCCTCACAGGGACTCGGGATATAGAAGGCCGAGCAGTGCTGCTTCTATGTGCTCACAGCCCAGCCTGGCTTCACCCCAAGTGCAGCAGCCATGAACTCATCCGTCTCCTGCTCTACCTGCGAAACATCCCCAGGTTTGGA